GACGCAGAGGCCTCCAAGAAGGGAGTGTAATTAGGATTCATCGAATTTCATGCAATATATATATATAGATAGATAGATAGATAGATAGATAGATAGATAGATAGATAGATAGATATAAATATATATATATATATATCTTCTTCGAGTTTCTGCTGTTATTTGATGCCCGAATTGGTCGGTGGCCATGAATGCATATACAGGACTTTAATGCTGTAAAGAAAGTTTACTCGTATGTAATCCCTGGAACCAATATTCATGGCATGGAAAGACGACCCTTGGCAATCTGTTTTGTAAATAGGTTGCCTTGTATTGCTATGCTGTGCCTAATTCATTAATCCATCTACGTTTATATAGGCGTGAAAATAACCCAATTTTTATGGTATTTTTAGATATATTTCTTCAATCAAATACCAGACACTTTAATTAGGCTACATCTGACCGGGGTCTCGATTAGTAGACTCACCTAACAGAAATCCATCTGGATGTAGATTTGGTGTAGTTGACAATCTTATCCAAAGTACTGTTGATAAGGCGAAGGCGTCTGGCCTCATCCATGGGCTGTCCCTTTACCTTATTGATTTTTTGTGCATGGGTACGCCAGTTAGCTGAGCCAACCTAAAAAATGCAATAGATGAGAACCTCTTGCTTCTTACATAATAAATCATCACCAATAAAAATCAATTTCTTTCATGTAATAAAGTCATTTTTCGTGAGGAACAATTAATGAAGGCATAATTTTGCTCTGCAGTATATACTAATTGTTATTTGCCTTACTTAGTGTATACAGACCTTTCCCATGGTGCAAACGCTAGCGTTGTATTTCCAGAAGTATATAGTACGTGATCTGACAGTAAATTCTATGTCCTCCTTGTTCTCTGTCTCTTGGCAAATCTTGAGCATCCTTTCCCGGCGCCTTCGGAAGCGTTCTTTGATATCATCTGGCATTAAGTCCTCCCTCTGCAACACCCCGCTGTATGAACTGCTCAATCCTTCTTCATAAAACCTCAGGTCTCCATATTGAAGTTGAAACAACATGTACACAACGAATACCACAAACAGTACCTTTGGCCAAACCCTTGTATTTTGCATCACGAAGGCGTTATGATTCAGTTTCAACACAATATTCTAACCAAGCAAATTGTTCTTTTCACAACACTTTTATCTAATGTCCATGAAGCACTTGATGAATTCGAATGGTTTCTGCTTACCTTTAGGAATAAAGAAGACATGGTCAGTAACAAATAATGCTATCATAGATGTATTATTTTCATATGAAAAATATCTTTAGAAAGCCTTATAGGACATAATGGTAAAACATACCTCTACACTCAAAACGATTTGTTGTTAAATGAGCCTGTTGGAAGTCCCCCAAGACTCAATTTTGAAGCTGATGAAGGTATAGGAAATGGAGGCAGGATTGATCAGGCCGAAGGGTCAGGCAGCCTGGAGGAAGCCTGGGAATGTAGTTAGAGAGGATTATCTATTGAAACTAAAACATGAAGTTGAAACTGGGCTGTTGTAAATAAAGATCGCACGAGTCTATGAGTCAAAAGACAATACGAGCTGCTGACGAAACGTCTTCTGACAGAAGAGAGCAGATAAGTGGTCTTGCCATGAGCCCCCCCCCCCCTACATGCAGTCATGGCCTGCCTGTTCATGGAGACGCTGGAGAGGGATAATTACAAGGATATAATCGGCAGACATTCAACTTGGCTTCGATCCGTAGATGATGGCTCCATCATTGTCCCCAGAAGGTCGTGCCTACAACATACACTGACGCGACTTAACTCCATCCACGAGAGAATCCAGTACACCGTGGAGGAGAAAGAGGATCAGAAATTACCTTTCTTGGACACTCTGATCCATCGGGGAGACGACGGCCTTCAATCTCTGTATACAGTAAGCATACAAATAAGGATGATCATATCCATTACTACTCAAAGCAAAATTTGAGCATTGAGGATCTGCAGCCCTAAATTTCTTAAGGATGAGGTTGCCTAGATAATTAATTTTTTCATGAAACCTCAAAAAGGTTTACGAAACAAGAAGCAGGCCGAAAGCAACCCTAACAGTGCTGTATATAGCATACCCTGCAGCAGATGTGATACAGCATACTTTAGTGAAACAGGCCGTGGTTTCAGCACCAGGATCAGCGAACATCGAACTGACATCGATCACCATAATTATAAGGACAACGAGTGGGAGGTCACAGTCGTCAGGTGTTTGCTCATGTCTGATATATATACCCTGTAATTCCTTTGATGTATGTATTTCTGCCGAAGATATAATCAAAACCGGTCAAATACACCCCTTATATTGTGAAGATATTAATTTTCATTCATACCTTTTCTACATTTGTCAACATGAATACGGTTCATATAGCATTGTGCTGAAAAACATGATGAGACTAGCACTGGTCTTATCAAACAGCTGTTTGTCACAGTAGGAACAAGTGATGACATAGCTGCCCACAGCAGTGTAGGGAAAACTTCTGTGAACCAGGTTGAGGTGGGTGATTCATACCCAGCGAAAGGTGTGCATGCAATTAAGAGGGTGAAGAGAAAGACAGAAAATAAACATCACTTTAGATAAGATTGCCAGATCTGCCTCACGAAGGCCACTTTGACTTGTCAGAGAGTGCTGTAATGCAGGTTCAGTATTTACTTCTCTCTTTATTTTTTTTTTTATATATAGTGCCTTTATACATAGGGAAGAGAGAAAGATCTGCTGATGTCCACGCGGTTTTTACTAGGAAATCAGCAGGAAGGTAAGATCGGTCCCACAAACTCCCTCCTTCGGCAGTCATGTATCCAAAGTCGACTTTGTTGGAGGTCCTGATGTGGAGAAGGACCAAAGGAAACCACCGAACCTACCGTCCGCTGCAGGAATTCATAAGAGCCTGATTCAGGTGACAGTAGAGGCACATATTCATGACGTTTTCGTAAGGTGATAGGACGCCTTTTAATATCTAAGCACATTTACATCACGACAGATATTCATGAACAGATTCAGATAACTGTAAACCGGATTTTCCTCTAAGGCGTCATCTCTAGTTTGTTAGTTTGGGCTTGATATATTGTATATAAGCTTTTAATATCCAGTAGAATAGTTTTATAACACCATTTGTTTGTTTATTTTACTATCTGCGCATTGTGATAGCATTCCTTTATTCATATAATAATAGAATGAATATGGTAATTTATTATGTGCCAAAAGCAGCACAATATGTCATCTCATTTGTTTTATCATATATTTCAAATTAAATCAAATATAACAAGTGCAAAAGCATTAAAAAGTTATTATCAAAGTACTACAGAGTATTTATTTGACAATCTGAACAACTGAACAACAAAAATATAAGATAAAGATTACTGTTAATCCAATATCACCTTTCAGAGGATCTGTTTGGATACAGGTGTCTAAAGCATGCCTTAGATAGGTGTGATAGGATAGTATTACAATTGCCAGCGATTCAGTTTTGGATGAATGTACATCTTTTTATAAGTTCGTAAAAAAAAAATCGAAAAATAAAATCGGCTTAGATATCTTCTTATATGAAATGTCAGGGCTTTGAAATAAAATCAAATGATTTCCAAGCTAATAAATCTTTATAGACTACATAATTAAGAAAATGTCAGATATTATATCATCATTTATAGAGATTATAGGGCTGACATTTGTAATTGTCCTATTAAAAATAGTATGTTCTTCCTTTTCTAATTAACAATAATAATGATAATGAAATGGATGATGATGGTTTTCCATTTTGCCAGACATATTTGAGTTAATACCGCCCTCCGTAATGTGCATGGGCTTATATGTGGCCCCACCCACCTAAAGATACGCTCACACAGTCCCCGCATTACCTGTAACAGACCACCATGTAAATTCGCGGAAAAAAATGCTAACAGGGCAATATAAATATTTATGACGCACATTCATTTATATAATTATGCTTTCACTGACGTTAGTATAGACAGGGAACCAGGCCCTGCAACACATTACAGGCAATATTTAGAAAAATAAATTTACAAATATCAACCCCCCCCCCCCCTACTGGACTTTGAAAATCAAATTAACTTTTTCCTAGGAGGACTCTGACGCTGTTAATGGTAAGGAACTCTTCGTTACCGTAAATGACAGAGATATATTTTGGTCTTATTTCTGGCAATTATAACATCAACATCGAATAAATTATACAAACAGTTTTGTATATAGTTATTTCTGACATTTCACGTAGTACTCTCACCGGCCAAATGTGATGACGTCTTTTTGATCAAAGCAATTTGTGGAGTTTATCTGAAAATGGTTCAGAAATAATGATGGCAAAAGAAACAAAAAAAAGAGCTTAAATATTTCATATTTGCAATTAATAAAGGTTAAAGGCGGGGCTTAGCTCGGAAGTTACCAACTAGGATTTTCATTAACAGAGAGTGAATCTACCTATGTAAAAGTACCTTGTGCTGGGTCAACTTAACCCAGAGGAACCAACAATACCAATCCTGCTTGCATATGACAGTTGCCTCCTCCCCTGCTTCTGACGCACAGTGATTCCCAAAATCCATACAGACCTCCCGAGCTGACGATACAGTAAAGGAAACATTTTCTAACCCGAAATGTTATGCTTACAAAGCTTGGGTAAAACGAGACAGATGGGTGACACTAAACCGAGTTTCCTGAGGGAAACTTGAAACTAATTTATTTTTATTTTTATGTATATTTGCATGTAATTTTGGTTAAATTATATGCTTTGTAGAAAATTAACAAAGGTATTACAAAATCCTTTTCTATCACGAGGAATATAACAAAAATGGTGATGATAACAATAATAATATCAAGTATAAAAGTAATAATTATGAAAGTAATAGCATTGGTGATTTTGCTAATAAAATGAAGATGGAAACAATCAATGTTGCAACAAATTGAAAAGTAAAAGTCTGTCAACGGAAATGCACAAGCCTGCTGTGATCCCTCTGACACTTTCCATTAGCATTCTTCTAGAAAAACAGCTTGTGAATTTAGACAAGGAAGAATAATAAAAAAATATGATATCTAGTATCTGTGGCTAATAGATGCTAGTATAGAGTGTGTACTTATTTGCGTGGCTTAAAATCTCTCTCTCTCTCTCTCTCTCTCTCTCTCTCACTCTCTCTCTCTCTCTCTCTCCCTCTCTCTCTCTCTCTCTCTCTCTCTCTCTCTCTCTCTCTCTCTCTATATATATATATATATATATATATATATATATATATATATATATATATATATATATATATGTATATATGTATATATACATATATGTATATATATATATATATATATATATATATATATATATATATATATATATATATATATATATGTATATATATGTATTATGTATATATATGTGTGTGTGTGTATATATATATATATATATATATATATATATATATATATATATATATATATATATATATAGGTATATGTATGTATATATATATATACACATATATATACATACATATATATATATATATATATATATATATATATATATATATATATATATGTTGTTGTTTTTCAGCAGCCATTCATTCCACTGCAGGACATAGGCCTCTCTCAATTCAGTATTGAGAGGTTATATGGCAGTGTCACCCTTGCCTGATTGAATGCCCTTCCTAATCAACAGCGGTTTGGCGCGTTAACACTTGTGCCACGGCGGTGACTTCCCCTACGACACCTGCGTTTGACTTCTCAAGCCGATATGTCGTTTTCTCGGGCTCGAGGTAGCAGTCAGATCGCAGACATTTTTACGACTGCCGCGACGTTGAATTGAACCCGGGACCACGAGGATCGGAGTCCAGTGCTCTAACCACTGAGCTATGTATGTATATATATGTATATGTATATATATATATACATATATATACATATTACATGTGCGTGTACATATATTCATTTATTTATTCATATATGTATATATTTGTATATACACATACATCCACATACGCACGCACACGCACACTGTAAAGGGTCATTAAAAGGGAAACCTCTAAACATTGGTGACAGGGAAGT